GCAGCAGCAACGGCCACAGTTCGAGAATGTAATACAGCCACCAGCAGGACAGCAAGCCCCAGGAAACAACATAGGAAACTTGGGTAGCATCTCCTTCCCGCCCAATGTCTTCCAGGTTACCCCTCAAACGGTTCTACGTTCGCCTGATGTCCGACGCTTTTCGAACTTACAGCTTTCTAGAAAATCAGATTGCTACTAAAATGCCTGCTCTAACAGATTGAGTGCAACATTGGGTATTCTACCGATCTCTCAACTGGGGACGTACGCCTCTTCGTCAACGAGCGTCCCTCCCCTCCAACAATCCTCCACCCATCTCGCCGTCACGATCCTCGGCACCTGTCGTCTCGAACTGACCTCACTCCTTACTTCAGCTGCCACCTCCCGCTGCCTTTTCTCATCTCCTGCCACGACTACCATCTGCGTGATACCCTTGTTCTTCATATCATCCACCACCTCTCCGCCCCCAAATCTGATATAATGCTTCAACCTCAACGCCCTGAGATCATTTACGCCCTCCCCCATGGCAAAATAGACTTTACATCTCCTCCAAATCGAGCCCTTGCCACCGACGTGATGGCCATGTTCGTCGAGTTGCTCTAAGAAGGAGTTGACATCGAAGTCTTCTGCATCCTGCATCCTATCCTCGTGTTTCGGCATCCCCTTCAGGATCTCGGCAAGCTCATCAACATCCACATCCCTAGCGAAGCTATCGCCAAAGGCATCACTGTTGTTTCTGGCTCGCTCTTTCGTCTCATCTGTACCATAGAAGAGATGGCATTCCTCAAATGGCAGAAAATATTGTGGTCCGGGGGACATCTTCTTGACTTGGTTGAGGCAGTCAAACAGCCATTTTGTCCTGATGATATCCGCGTCTCCGTCTTTCATCAGACTGGCGACCTTGATGACTTTTTTGTCAGCTAAGATCACCATCTTGCCACTTTTGTCTGGTCGTTGGGAGATGCGGCCGCCGTTTTCTTTTATCAGCGCTTCAATTGCGGCTTTGGATTTCTTGTGCGGCTTAACGGCTTCTGATAAGACGCAGAACTCTATCCCTTCAAGGGTTTTGGTGGATGGCCTACTATTCTGTGTATCGGCTCCCTGCAGAGGTACCATGTCTGGGTCTGTACCGGCTATCACCACGTCTTGCTTCTGTCGCTTGGTTGGTTTACGCCGCTTGTTCTCCACACTCATTTCCTTCTTCTCTTTTAGCTCTTGGTCGACTCGGTTGCGGAGCTGATCAAAGCCATCTGTATCCAGGGCCGAATCCCATGCTCTGTCCAGTCTTAGGCGTCGGAAGCGGGGGAAGCGTAGAGTCCAGCCGAGGGCGAACTGGTCGGAAGAGGTAATCTGAGCGGCTTTGGCGGATATCACGATGGAATCCTTGGGTCGGATCCAAACGTCCGGTCGTTCGTACTGTAGCCTCTCTCCTCCGCCTAGCTCGATGTACTCGGATGGTGGACGAGCAGGATCCCAGTCTATCCATTTGCCTTCAGTATGGTGTCGTATCTCGGCGTAGTCCTCTGCCCTGAAGCCACCGCCTACTTTGAAGAAGCTGAGACACTTTTCAGGGTTGGCACCAGCTCGGACGTAGTTTTCGCCCACGCGTAAACCACAAAGGAAGCTGGACAGCCTACCGCCACGTCGACCTGAGCCAAAATAGCCACCTACCACAACACAGTCGAGAGACTCGCCAAACTCGGACATGTACTCTGGTTTGACCTTGATCCAGTCGTCATTGCGGCTGTTGAGTCGGTACATGGAGCGGGGGTTCTTCAGGACCAGGCCTTCCGACGCCTCAGCCACGATCTGCCGCAGCATAGGCTCAATGGCGTCTGGAGTAGTAGCTGCCTTGTATTCGTGTATCTCCAATCTGCGCGGGATGCACAGGACAGCTTTCTCCAGCGCTCTTCGGCGATCGCGCATGGTGTACCTCGTGAGTGGCTGATCGTTCAGATAGAGTATGTCGAAAACCTTGAATACTGGCCGTGGTCCTTTTTGGTTGAAGGGGTTGGCCTGCTCGCTCAAAGCAGCCGTCTTCAGTGTGCCGAATGCCACAATTTTGTCTGTTTCCGGGTCCCAAGTAATCATCTCACCATCGAGGATACAGTTTCTCACCCCATCTGCAAAGGCACCCTTCAGATGTCGAGTCAGTGCCGAGTTCTCGTCTTCCAGTCCTGCTCCGTAGAGGTACGTGTAGTCCTTCGCCTTCCTCGACCACCACTGAAACCTGTATCCGCAAGGCACGTCATCGTCTTCGACCATGTGCATCTGCATCCTCTCGCCATCCAGCTTCTCCTCGATCCAGAACTCCGGATCATCCTCCGTAACCCCCAAGGACTGCACCATCTTACTGAAGCTAGCAGCCGTCATCTGAAACTGTGCCAGTTGCGGCTGAAAACACTGCATAAGCGTTATGCCCGCCTCTTCCTGTTCCAGTCTCATAGCCGGGTCGTGCAACTCCCAGCACACCCTTCTCAAACTACTGCTCACGCTGAACAACGCCTCAGCATCCGGATGCCAGAGATCCAGAAACGTCCGCTCCGTCGCACCGACCTTCATCTGTTTGAGGATGATCCTGATAAGCCACATCATCTCTTCAGCATTCATACGTCGATAAAACTCTTCCATGATCGGCATCTGCTCTGCCTCTCCCGACGCAGCAGCAAGTCGATCAAGCAGGACATTCACCTCGCCAATCCGCATGTCGCCTGGCTCAGCTCGCATCTGTCGTTTACTCAGCACCTCAAAACAGCGTCCGGCGAAATCACCCGCCATGCGACTCGCGGTCGTGTTCCCCGGTAACTTCCAATGGAGGAGGTTATACCCGTCCTCGGAGTTCTTATCGATTTTCATGAGCTTCACCAACAGTTTACCGATGGTGTTCTCCTTGAGTCCATAGACACCTCTGTCCCGATCTTTGTCCGGCAGGATCAGCCGTAACGCAGGGTAGAAATCATCTCCCACCTCGTTCCGCCATCGCGAGACGAAGCGCTCAATGATATGTCGACGCTGTTCATGTGGGGACGCCTTGGACTGTCCATGGGGACCGAGTTTTGTGCGCGGAATGGGGCGTCCCGCTGTGGCGGCGGGCTGTTTCTTGTTTTCATTTAGAGGGTTGAAGAGGGACTGGTAAAGCTCAGAGAAGAGGAAGGTGAGTGAGTGGTTGTGTGGGCGGTTGGGGTATTTCTCATCCAGTTCGGCCGAAGAGAGAGGGCCGTTATTGTACTGTGCCTCGTCTTCTTCTTTGGCGTCTGGAGAGGGGAAGCTAGGGCGCTTAATTTGGGTATGTTGAGACTGCGACATGGTGAACGACGTGGACTGTGAGTTGAGGTGAGGGAGGGTTAGGGTGAGTTTGTTGTCACTCCCTTTGCAAGGGCGAGGTCATCGCGGTCTGCTACTGAATGTTTGGCTGGGTTTGGCATGAGAAATGGACATACGACGTCGCGCAAGGAAAGAATGTGTTGGGGTTGTCGAATTGGTCGACTCCCGTCAGGAAATCTAACAATGTGAGTGAACCCCCTGGTTGCCTTGGGGTTGCCTGGAAGTAATGGGTGACTAAGCTAAGGAAGTGAAAGTCGCGCCCTCAACCACTTTGGTCGAACCGCATTGCGAGTGCACATCAACAAGTAAGACACCCTCAGTACTTTCAGTTAACTTGATGCTTGATCTTGACTATATTAACTGTACTTATGGATGAGTGGATCGTGACGTGGGAATTCGTAAGCGTATCTAGTCATTGGAGGTTTCTCACATTGGATAGCTTTACTAGAAAAGACAACACACAAAGCCCTTATAGCTCAGTGGTAGAGCGTTGCACTTGTATTACATAAGCAATTACATGCAAAGGTCGGTTGTTCAATCCAGCCTGGGGGCAGCTTTTTGCTTAGGTTGTCTTTTTTATATTGACAATCACTTGAAGAAGTGACCGGATCGAGTCTTTCGACCCTAAGTAAGAGAGACTGGTCCAGTAGAATAGTTTTGGTAGGTTGGACCGACGTGAGCTAGCCCAGATCGCATCACCAACAGTAACTGCATATACTTCCCGAACCAAGCGCATTTCCGGGTCCTCTGGAACCTCGTTCGCCCGATCGACAGTCTCCTCCTCGTCGAAAACCAGGTGAAGTCAGATACTTTTTGCGTGTTCGCTCATTACTGTTGTTGTGCGTCTTGGAGGTTGATGTCTGGCCAGAAGGAAGGAGTCCGGCACGCATGGTTATTCCCAGAGTCACTGATAACGGATGGGTCCCACCCCGCAAAGGAAGACACGAAGGAGCGGCGATCTTGGACCGCTCCACTTGCAACACTACTCCCGCTTCAACCCCATTGAGGACGATGAGACCACGCATAGGGCTGGTATCTTATCTTGGAGGTCGTTGTCTCGAATGCTTATCTTCCTTCCCAGAGCCCAGGGCCCTGAGAGGCGCAGGAGGTTTCGCTCTGTAATCAACACATGTCACGCTTCCGCAACTGACCTCCGCATACCCCAGCTTCCGGCCAAACCAGGCCGATAGGTATGGTCCGCGGCTATCATGCCGGTGTCGCCAGAGTCCAGGTAGTATACGGTTATCATGCCTTTCTTTAGGCCAATGAAGTTGGTGAAATGAAGCAGTACACCGAAGTCGGTGTCCTCGTTCTCACCTGTATATGCTGTTACACCTCTTCGTCGCTTCAAAACGAGTGTTTTCTCATCATCGGCTCAGTTTCTTCCACCGGTGCATCCATAGTCCAATATCCCCGGACTGCCAAAACAGTCTAGGGCCGCCAGCAATACTCCAGCATGTCGAAACGTCCAGTGGATCGTATGGAAAGCCGTCCCCATGACCCCGGCCACCGTGGTCTGGGGCTACCAGCCCACGTGGAATTGAGCACACCACCTCCCGATAACACAGACATGATGGACGAAGAAAAGACACCCAACAATCAGCAAGTGGCTGACGCATCGACAAGCCCCGCCGCTCCCAAGCAATCGGGATCAGCTGCGTCTCCTTCCGCACCTGCAGGTAGACGCCGTGGGAGAGTAGCTCTAGCTTGTCAGAGGTGTAAGCGGAGAAAACAGAGGGTATGTGAATCAATGCCCCTTCTGTGTGTCGACGCAATGCTGATAGCGATCGTAGTGTGACGGGGAGCAGCCCGCGTGTAAGGGCTGTAAGAAGGCCAACGTTCAGTGTCTCTATGAGCGTGTAATACGGCCTCGATATCCTGGAGGCAAATCATTGTGAGTAATACCAGCCAAAACTGATCCATCATGTGCTTATATGTATCGGTATAGATATATCAGTGCTTTGGAAGAGCGGATAGCATTTCTCGAAGCTCGCATACCCGAGTACGCAAAGGATCATTTCGAGGCCGGTTCAAATCAGACACCGAGCCCAGCAGCAGGGGTCCCAAGTGCTCCGCGCCGGAAACATTCTCGACGTCTGTTCGCAGATCCTTCGGATGATGAGGACTCGCCACTTGTCGATGGCGTCGCATACCTTTCACTATGCGCTTCAGGCGTCACGGACACTGCTCCCGAACCCTTCTATCTCGGCTCGAGTTCGGGGGCAACCATTGCTCGAATGATCCAGTCGTCCATATTCCGGAGCTCGAAACTGGCACTACCTGACAGCATTTCACCGGGAGATCGTGACGTACTGCGACCATCGTCACCGATAGATCCAACAAGACCTTCTGTTCTATTGGCTGACGGATCAACATGCGAGTTTCCGCCTCCTGCAGAAGCACAGGTCTTGTTTGAAGTGTTCTTCAACAGGCTTCACACGCGATGGCCCATCCTGGACCGCAAGGAGTATCAGCAACTCTTCGACCAGCAGTATGAGCACGGAGCTCTTTCTGTCCAACAACGGAGCATTTTTCACTTGATATACTCTATTTCGTCACGCTTCCTACAGCTTACAAAGAAGCGTCATCTTGCTGACCCTCAGGTAAGCCTCGTTGACATTTGCACACAACGTACCTTCTCTAACTGTCCCAGGTCCACTTCGCAGCTGCCATAGAACCCATGGACTACATCCTCGAACAGCACAACCTTGCCACGGTACAATTCCTCATTCTCCTAGTCATCCATGGCCAACAATCCCCGTACGGTTCTGGTTCCTGGTCCCAGATACGCTACGCACTTACAATGTGCGTTGAGTTAGGTCTTCACCGCATGCGCTCTGCCAAGGTCACCCCTACGCAATCTGAGCGGGGACTCGAGATTCGTCGTCGAGTGTTCTGGGCTTGCTACTGCCTGGATAGGACAACGAGCTTGCTACTAGGGCGCACCTTTGGCATATCTGACAGAGATATAAACGTCGAGCTGCCCTCGTCAAGCACCGAGTTCTGGAATCTGACTTCTACTGGAGAGGCACCGGGAGCAGACAACTGGTCGAACATTTTACCCTTCATCCACATTATTAAATTGAAGAAGTTGCAGAGCAAGATCCATCGTACGGTCTTCCGTGTGGACAAAGATGTCCTCAACCCGGAGCCTCTTGAACGAGCGAAGCAGGATAAGAAGATTGCTTCCATCCACAAAGCTTTAGACGACTGGGCTGCAGATATCCCGAACCCGCCACGAGATGCAAAATGTGCTACTGGGGCATACGACCAGGAAAATACGTACCACCATGACTCTCGGGATTTCTTCACACTGCAATACCACAAGACGGTACTATCACTCTTCGCTGCTCTGCTACCGACACTGTCAACCTCTGACCCCCGCTTCATCTCCGGAGCGAAAAGTGCGGCAAGAGTATGTACTGCATACAAGCGACTGCACCAACACAAGACGCTCAGCTACTCGATCGCCGCGCTACACTCTTGTTTTACCGCCGGCTTGACACTCGTATACTGTTTGTGGCGGGATGCCAGCCTTTTCAGTTACCAGGCGCTTGAGGCCGTCAGAGCGTGTAGTCTGTGTCTGACGATATTTGGAGAGAAATGGCCTGGTGCGGTGAAGTACAGGGATATCTTCGATGCGTTGAGCGCGAGTCTGTTCAAGGCTATTGTCGATCCCAAGGATGGTAGCAGTGGGGAATCAACGCCTGCGGTTGAGACCCCCTCTGCTGCGGTGGATGAGGATGACGCAGCACAAGGACGGAGAAAGCCGTTGGAGATCACTATGCAAAGGAAGCAGAGAAGCTCACTTGACAGCGTCACTGGGGGACCGGGACGAGATGATGATCAATCCACTGATATACACGGCCAAACCACCATCACTGATTCTTCGCCTACCACGATGATGCTAGAGGCAGTCAAGGACACATTCATGGAAGTGGATGAGGAGGCGCCCGGTGGCTGGCAGAGCTGGCGGATGTTCAATGAGATGGTACAACAGGGACCGGAATCTGACACGGTTCAGGGTCTGACGATAGATGCTACTTTGTTGCACCAGACGCAGGACACGGCTATGGGGTGGGAGGATGATATGCAGGTTGGGAACGCGGACTTTGCCGGCGGTGATTTTCGCATGATTGACGGCTTTACGACTAATGATATACCGCAACAATGGAACTAGAGGACATGTAGCAGCAACGAGATGAGTTCGCAATAAGGTTTCAGGCTACCTGTTATATAAAAGCACGGTGGAAAGGAACGGGGCTCCTGTGGCAGTGCTCTATGTTAAGACGAGGCTGAATGTCCTCGTCTCGTCTGTCTGACAGCTGCAAGTAGGGACATGGCTTAATGCCAGTCTGATTTTCAAGGTTACTGCCGGCTTCTCGCATACTCTGTGACTCAAGAGCAAATGTGATGAGTTAGAAATCATCATACCAAAGCTTAAATCATGTAAGTTTAAAGGTGCTACGCCCCGCCCTCGTGCTCTTTTGCTTCAGGCACCTTGTCCCATATCAAGTCAACCATTCCAGTCGAATCATGCCAAGATACCCCAGGTCAGTACGGTTATCATTGCGACAGACAATGATCACCACAGGACGGTAGCATAAGCCAAGGAAGCCATTGCTGCCTTGATAAGCAATCCCCATCGCACCCACCTCCAAGAGTACGCGGTCAGAAATGCACTACTTCATCTACATCCACGGCTACCCCTGCGTGGGCAAGTTCACTGTCGCCCGGGAGCTGCACCGGATCCTTCCGAACTCCAAAGTCTACCACAACCACCTCTTCATCGACCCCATCGCCGCGCTGGTCGACCGCTCCTCACCAGAGTACAACACGATACGCACCGATTATCGCCGCCACCTCCTGCACCTCATCGCGACGTCGGAATCAGAGCGGAACACGACCTGCATCTTCACAGATTCCAGGGGCAACAGCGCAATCGGCAGCATCGCTGTGAAAGGTTACGAAAATGCTCTGAAGAGGCGTGGCGTGCCGTTTATCCCGGTTATTATGACGTGTGACCCGGAGGAGAATGCGAGGAGGGTTGTGGACGAGAGCCGCGGGGAGGGGAAGTGTACGAAGTTGAGGAACAGTGATGTTCTGCGAGATATCCGGCAGAAGGAAGAGATGTTTCGGTTCGGAGATGAGAGGGAGTTGGGGTTGGATGTGACGAACCTCACTCCGACGGAGGCTGCGCAGAAGATCGTCGACCATGTCATGAAGGTTGGAGACACGCGGACCTCCCAGACGCAATAGATGAGATCGTTAATCGCCAGACCAGTACTGGGGTTGAGTGACCACCGGGAAATTCCCTGGTGTTGTATGTGGTTTCCCCTTCTGCTGCCTTCTTCTTGTATCAGACGTTGTCTATACGGAACCACATTGTAAAGATACTTTCAGGTTCCAGCAAGGTTGTTGCCCTCGGACGCCATGAGTTCCAAGACTAGACAACTGGGTATATAGTTCAACCACACATTACACATTATGCCTTCCCACCCGCCTTCAATGCGTACACAGTAACTCTCCAAACCCACGAGTCCATCGCAACCC